ATAGAGGAGGAGGAGGAGGGAGGAGGAGGAGGAGGAGGAGGATGAGGGAGGAGGAGGAGGAGGAGGAGGAGGGAGGAGGGAGGAGGGAGGAGGGCGGAGGAGGAGGAGGGAGGAGGAGGAGGAGGGGGAGGAGGAGGAAGGAGGAGGAGGAGGAGGAGGAGGAGGAGGAGGAGGATGAGGAGGAGGAGGAGGAGAAGGAGGAGAACGAGGGAGGGTGAAGGATCCCACGCCTTTCGGGGAGAGCGCGTGTCATTCCCTGGCTTTTTGTTGGGGGGGGGGGGGGTCCGCGGGGCGTTAGACCGTCCAAGGTGGCCTCGGCGAGACGGCCAAAGTGATTGTGTCACTCGATTCTGCTGCACCCCTTTTAATCGATGGATGGCCTCCGAAATGACCCCAAGAGGCCCTCCAGGGCTCCGAAGCCCCTGAGAGGGCTCTAAGAGGGCCCCAAGAGGGCCACAAGACCCCACAAAAGAGCCCCAAGAGAACCCCAATATCCCCCCCAAAGAACCCCAAGAGGGCTCCAAGAGGCGATTTTGGAGGGGCCGCGGGGTGCTAGAGCGTCCAAGATGACTTCGGCGAGAATGCCCACATCACTGATATCACTAGGGTTTGGGGCCCATCTTGGCGATGTTGCTGGTCCCAGGTGGAGATACAAATTCAGGACCTTCCCTTTCACTCGATGGACTACAAGGTGGCCCCAAGGGGCCCCCCAGGACTCCCAAGGGACCCCCAAGACGGCTCCAAGAGGGCTCCAAGAGGGCCACAAGACCCCCCCAAAGAGCCCCAAGAGGAGCCCAAGATCCTCCCAAAGAGCCCCAAGATGGCTCCAAGAGGGCCTCCGATGCTTCAAGATGGCATCCAAGATGGCTCAAGATGGCCGGCGATAATTCACGATATCTTCCAGCATACATCTAAAATGGCTCCAAGAGGACACAATTCATCACACCCGTTAAGGAGGAAACGAGTGTTCTTGCAGAGATGCCCCACGACTCTACTCTGGTGAGAACGTGCTTGGATCCGCGCAGCAATAACAATATCCATGTGTCGCACAGATCCCCCCAAACACCTCGGAGCCCAGTTGCGAGGATATCTCAGGCGAAACGGTCCGGATCACCTCAGGCCTCTACATCTCCAACCCTGGAATTGCGAAGATGGCTCAGGCGAAATCCGCCGACCCTGTCGGCGTGTGTGAGGGGCTTCTCCGTTCGACTCGTCGTCTCCGTCGTCTCCGTTCTCCCCCTCCCAGGGCTCTCCTCCTCAAGCGCGCTATCCAAAGCGAAATTAAACGACGTCGTCGTGGAGTCGAAAGGAAGCCCCTTCCCTTTGATCACTTCCCCGCAGGGGGGAGGGGGGGAGGGGGCCCGGGGCAGACGCACGGGATGCACTTCCTCCTCCTCCTCCTCCTGGTCCTCCTCCTCCTCCTCCTCCTCCTCCTCCTCCTTTTCCTCCTCCTCCTCCTGCTCCTCTCCTCCTTCTCCTCCTCCTCCTCCTCCTCCTCCTCCTCTCGCAGAGGCGTCCCGGGAGCGGGCCCCGAGTCAAAATACCACCCCCCCTAGGGCGCATTTTCCTCGAGCGGGCACGCCCGAGATGCACTTCTTCCTCTTCCGGGAGCACGTCCCAAGTCAGAATATCACACTCCCGGGGCGCACTTTCTTCGAGCGGGCACACAAAGGATGCACTTCCTCCTCCTCCTCCTCCTCCTTCCTCCTCCTCCTTCTCCTCCTCCTCCTCCTCCTCCTCCTCCTCTCCTCTCCTCTCCTCCTTCCTCCTCATCTCCTCCTCCTCCTGCTCCTGCTCCTTTCTCCTCCTCCTCCTCCTCCTCCTCCTCCTCCTCCTCCTCCTCCTCCTCCGTTTCCTCCCCCCACTCCTAGCCCTTTCGATCAGGGTCGGCGGCACCGGCCGTCAGGCCTCTCCAATAGGCTGGACCACCTCTCGCGCCGCATCTGTGAACTCAGAACCCACAGGATGTCTCAGGCGAAACGGGCCGGACCACCTCAGGTTTGGTCGTCCCCGAGCACGGACTTGTGACGATGTCTCACGTGAAGCAGACCTGGCCACCTCACAACCTTGAACATGTTTTGACGCGGGGGCCCTTCGGGCAGAATCAATTCTGACAACAACAATGCCCCAAGAACCAGCTGTGCAAACCGGGAACACTCCACATCAAAACCTTTATGATAACAAACGATAAATTCGCAAAAGAGGGAACATCGTTAGCGGGGATCGATGATCATCGAGAATGAAAGAAAATCGGTGACCAGGGTTCGCTTGGACGACCAGGGTTCGCTTGAACGTTTCCAGGGTCACCTTTGAGCCTTCAGTAGCGGATTTGTCAACAAAAGGGCCAGATCCGCCTCGAAAGTCTGACCACGACGCGTTCCAGTTCCAGCAAGGAGGTCCGAGGGCCGGGAGGGAGACACTCATACAGCGGCGTCGCGGAACAAACACGCGACGGACATGTTGCACTCTGGGCCCCGAGGAATGCCGCAGAGAGGTCCCGTCGGTTGCTCTGGTGGTGATTTCGTCACGACGTTGATTATTACTAGCGAAGTGGGATCTCGGGGGTGGCCGCACTTCCCCAGGGCAGCTAAGTTAGCGCTTCGCGCTTCGCGAAGCGCTAATAACTTCGCGCTCTCGCGCCGCCCCTCCTGGGGGAGAAGAAAAGGACGAGGAGGATGAGGGTGAGGAATCGCGAGCCGCGAACCGCAAATAGATTCGCGCCCAAGTGGTGGCCCTTGACTTCTGGCACGAGCGGGCAGAATGCGAACGGCACGCACCAGGTCTGCGGACGCTAGCAACTGCGCATCACGACCCTGGCGAGATCCATCCTGGGCCCTAGCAGCAGACCAAGGCCCTGGAAAAGCCTTGTCGAGGCCGGTGGTGAAAACTTGCTGGCTCTATGGAAGGGGCGAAGGAGAGATTGGCGACGGGGCGCGACAGGATGTGGGATCTGGTGTCCAGGAACCGATTGGGCAATTCTAGCATCTGCAGCTGGGTGAAGGTGCAACGGAACAGGGGCGGGACAGAACGTGCCAATGGACTCCGCAAGATACAAAACAAAAAGCGAGTCGCTATGCCACACCGGCAACACCGAAGGTGCCATCAACATTCATGCCGCAATAGTGCAATGCATTGGTGTACAAATTTTCAGTCAAAGCCCAGGCACGTTGAAAAGCGAAGCACGCGGGATCGTGTAAGAGAGTGCAACGTTTCGGAACTATGTGGACTGACCAGTAGAACAGGCACACACACGCACACATGTCTACAAGGGCTCGGTCATGAGGAAGCGCCAAGGGACAAATCAGTCATGCTGCACGCGCGAGGGAACTGTCAGCAGCATAACAGCACACATCGCCAGGGACCGCACTTTGCGCGGATCAACTGAAGACGCAAGAGGGCACGCAGTGAGACAGCCATACGATCACTGACGGGCCATCACGTGGGCCGACACACCGACGACAACGCCGATATGTCGCAGGAGCGACAGAAGCGGTGCGGCATGCCACGACGACATTCGCTGCGACCCTGCAGCAGTGCACCGAGTGAAGGGTCCTCAGGCCACTTTGAGACTCAGAGTAGCGTACGTCTCGCACGTGCTCTTGACGGGCCCCGAGGCCCCCGAGAGTCCCAGAAGGGGCCCCAACGGGCCCAAAAGCGGCCCCCTAAGGGGCCTCAAAACTGCCACCGAGAGGCCCCCGAGAGGCCCCCCACGAGCTCCCAACTAGCATCCAGTAGGCTTCACACCCACAATCCAGGCACGGTGGCGGAATGGGCCGAAGCCCATTCATGTTGTACATGCTCTGTACGGGCCCCATGGCCCGAAATCACAGGGGCTCTTGGGGCTTCTCGCGTGCCTTTCCCAGGGGCCTCGGGAGCGCGAAATTAGAATGAGGTCCCAAGCAAGTCCAACATGGCTCCCCGAGCCCGTCCTGGAGCCCCATTGGGGGCTGGCTTGGAGGCCGTGGGCAGGGATCGACGTAAACAGTATGTGTCGTGCTCGGTTTGGTTTAGTTGTCTTGTGCTTTGTCTTCCATCCGCCTTCGCTGCAAACCAAAATCGAAACGAAACCGGCCCAAGGGATCGCCAAAACACCGTTCAGGTCGACGAGGGCCACAAGACGGTTCCAAGTGCGCTCGGAGCCCCCTGGAGACCCACCCAAGAGGCCAACATCCTTCAACACACCGATGGAAACCCGATGATTTCTCACGTCTCGCCTTGCCGCTTCCGATGCACTTTTGAAGCCCCGCCTCAACATGGCCCCACGATGGCCCAAGACACGCCCACGAGGAGCCCAAGAGGCCCCCAGAACGGCCCCAAGAGGGCTCCCACGAGCGCCGTGCCGTGGGCCGATGGCTCGCCCAGAGTGTCTGCCGGGTCGCCCCGGAGCCCGAGCACGGCCTCCCACAGAGGCCGTCATCGCGGAGCACCGCCGGCAGCGAACAGAACACCCCACTGCTGTGGGCCTGCGTGCAGGGAGCACACTTTTGAATGGAAAGCCTGGCGCCCAAGAAGCCCGTGCACCCCTGGCGGGGCCGCCAAGGCCCAACTTGCTCTTCCCGTCAGGGCAGCGGCAGTCGACCTGCGGCTCTCAAGAGGGGAGGTCCAGCCCAGATCTGCATTTCTCTTGCCGCATTGTCTGAACGGGACCCTGGGTCTGGCCTCGTGGCCGGCTTCGCTTGGACGAGCGGCTTGGGGCTGTGCTTACCTGGCGGTCGACTGATCGCAAGCACTGCGTCAGAGCGCGGCTGCGCCTTGCAGCCAAGCGCGCAGTCGTCAGCGGAGGACTTGGGCATGGGTGAGCACGTCGCGGTCACCAAACAGTGCTCCAACATGTTTACTCAGCGACCCTCGCAATGAAGCCACGACCAATCCCAATGGCAACATTTCTGCTTATCAAGTCATGAACCCTCCCAGTGACAGAATACATACAGAGCGGCCTTGGCAGCGTCTAAGGACATGCTGCGGTGCGAGCAGACGCCGACCCAAGAATAAGGCGACACCTGATTGGGAAAAAAGTCACTACCTGTGTCTCACAGATACGCACTTGCACGTCACACATCAGAACCAGTGCACTCGCGCCAACTGCTCGCCAACAGCATCAAACGCGAACCTGCGCGCCAACAAGAACCCATTTGAACGCGCGCACTGTGCGGGCGAACCAGTCCTTCGCAGATTGGCAAGTGGTTTGCCAAACATGCGTGCACGTCTGACGGGTCAACTAGCAAATCGGTTCAGCTTTTTCACACACGTCCCCACAGTAAGCATATGTTTGCATGTATGTGTGTATCTCAGGGTGCAGTCAGCCAGTATAGTAAGGATGCGCGATGAGCATGCAAAGGCCTTGGAAGCCCATTTCGAAGCTTCTCGAGCGGGGAGCGGCCAGCGAAGGCGGCAAAGGATGGACCGAGGAGGCAAGGATGCAAGGGTACCCTTGGGAAGGTGGCCCATCCTGACTGTGCAGGTCGACTGTGAGGGCTCCGAGGATCGGAGATCACGACCTCCCTTTCCAGTGCGGGTGCCAGGGAAGCGAGGCGCCGAGATCGCGCCCAGACGGGCGGCGTAGGACGGCCCAGTGTAGCCCAAGATGGCCCAAATATTGTGCCAAGGTCGTCCGCAATGCAGCACGAGGCGGCCCCATTTTGGCCAATGCGGTTTCCAATATGACCCCAAGGGGCTTCAAGATTACTTCGAAACTGCCTTGGAAGGCCCCCCACCATTACCGCGATATCCCCAAGGAGCCCATCTTCAAGAGGCCCTGAGCTGAGGTGAAGAGGGTGGGCACCAGTGTGAGCAGAAACCCGACTACTGTGCGCTGACCCAGAGGCGCTTCGTCATGAACCCGCAGATGAGGCCGAAGCCACAGCTTTAATGAACAGAAGAGGAAGCTAAGGGCCCACCCTGCAAGTTTGGCGAACAGCGCACCGTCTCCAGTCGGCTGAAGATGGCATACGAATTGCATCAAATTTGCCTGCTGATGAAACATCACTATGATCCGGGCGAGATTGTTGATTGCGGAGCACTCGGGCCATGCCAGCTGGGTCAAAAAAACATACATATTGTGTTTTTTTTGTGTGTGAGTGTGTGTGTGTGTTTTGTGTCTGTGTGTTTTGTGTGTGTGTGTGTGTTTTGTGTGTGTGTGTGTTTTGTGTGTGTATGTGTGTATGTGTGTGTTTGTTTTGTTCCCCACAAATTGTGTTGTTTACCCAACCATCCTGTGGTGTTGGGTCCTCGTTTTGAAGAGACAGCGCCCCGCGTTCCCACTCCTCCTCCCTCCTCCACCCCCTCATCCCTCCTCCCCTCTCCTGGCCTCTGCCCTCCGCATCTTACTGTGTCGGCACATCCAGTACAGCGTTTCGTTGCCCCACAGGGAGCTCCACCGAAGGCCCCAGTGGCTGCGTTCGCATGCGCCCGCCGCACCCATTCAGGCACACCCCTCACACGTTTCGTGGCCCCACAGGGAGCTCCACCGAAGGCCCCAGTGGCTGCGTTCGCATGCGCCCGCCGCACCCATTTAGGCACACCCCTCACACGTTTCGTGGCCCCACAGGGAGCTGCACCGAAGGCCCCAATGGCTGCGTTCGCATGCGCCCGCCGCACCCATTTAGGCACACCCCTTACACGTTTCGTGGCCCCACAGGGAGCTGCACCGAAGGCCCCAATGGCTGCGTTCGCATGCGCCCGCCGCACCCATTTCGGTACACCTCTCACACGTTTCGTGGCCCCACATGGAGCTCCACCGAAGGCCCCAGTTGCTGCGTTCGCATTCGCCCGCCGCACCCATTTCGGCACACCTCTCACACGTTTCGTGGCCCCACATGGGGGCTCCACCGAAGGCCCCAGAGGCTGCGTTCGCATGCGCCCGCCGCACCTACTTCGACGCACCCCTCACACGTTTCGTGGCCCCACAGGGAGCTCCACCGGAGGCCCCACTGGCTGCGTTCGCATGCGCCCGCCGCACCCATTTCGGCACACCCCTCACATTATTCGTGGCCCCACATGGAGCTCCACCGAAGGCCCCAGTGGCTGCGTTCGCATACGCCCGCCGCACCCATTTCGGCACACCCCTTACACGTGTCGTGGCCCCACAGGGAGCACCACCGAAGGCCCCAGTGGCTGCGTTCGCATGCGCCCGCCGCACCCATTCAGGCACACCCCTCACACGTTTCGTGGCCCCACAGGGAGCACCACCGAAGGCCCCAGCGGCTGCGTTCGCATGCGCCCGCCGCACCCATTGCGGCAAACCCCTAACACATTTCGTGGCCCCACAGGGAGCTCCACCGAAGGCCCCAGTGGCTGCGTTTGCACGCGCCCGCCGCACCCACTTAGGCACACCCCTCACACGTTTCGTGGCCCCACAGGGCGCTCCACCGAAGGCCCCAGTGGCTGCGTTCGCATGCGCCCGCCGCACCCATTGCGGCAAACCCCTAACACATTTCGTGGCCCCACTGGGAGCTCCCTCTCATTTGTGTAACCTGGTTTGCGGCACCTGCAATTGCATATGGTTGGGCCCTTCGCCTGGATCATTTTTGTGTGTGTGTGTCTGTGTGTGTGTGTGTGTTTGTGTGTGTTTTCCTCACAGTGAATGTGTGTGTGTGTGTGTTTGTGTGTTTGTGTTTTGTGTTTGTGTTTGTGTTTTGTGTGTGTGTGTTTTGTGTGTGTTTTTCCCAACAGTTTTCCCCCGAGGACGGCGCCAGTCAGATCCAGAACTGCTGGGATCGACCGGCAGCGCCCGGGGGCCAGCCTCGAGACGAGGCGCCATCTGCGCCTCCGCCGCGCACCCGTCTCCCGAGCAGCCAGGGCAGGGGGGGGGGGGCCCTCGGTGAAGCACCAGAGGTCCTCGACAGCGCGATCCCGAGCAAGCTCGACTGAAGGGGCCCCAGGACACACAAATGAATACACACAAATAAAAGTATTCCCCATATTTCCTCATGTTTTCTGGGTTTTTGTCTTCCCCCCCACTTCCCATATTTTCCCATATTTTCTGGGGAATCGACGATTAATTGTGTCTGTGTGTTTTTCCCAACCATCCTGTGGTGTTGGGTCCTCGTTTTGAAGAGACGGTGCCCCGCGTTCCTCTCCTCCTCTCCTCTCCTCCTCTTCCCCCTCCTCCCTCCTCCCAGCATCATCATCATCATCGTCATCATCATCATCATCATCATCATCATCATCATCATCATCATCATCATCATCATCAACGTCGTCGTCGTCATCATCATCATCATCAGCATCAGCATCATCATCATCGTCATCATCATCATCATCATCATCATCATCACAATCCTCATCATCATCATCGTCATCACTCACCATCATCGTCATCATCACCATCATCGTCACACCTCTCACACGTTTCGTGGCCCCATAGGGAGCTCCACCGAAGGCCCCAGTGCTGCCGCCTGCATGCGTCAGCCACACCCAATTCGACACACCCCTCACACGTTTCGTGGCCCCATAGGGAGCTCCACCGAAGGCCCCAGTGCTGCCGCCCGCATGCGTCAGCCACACCCAGTTCGGCACACCCCTCACACGTTTCGTGGCCCCATAGGGAGCTCCACCAAAGGCCCCAGTGCCGCCGCCCGCATGCGTCAGCCACACCCAATTCGGCACACCCCTCACACGTTTCGTGGCCCCATAGGGAGCTCCACCGAAGGCCCCAGTGCTGCCGCCCGCATGCGTCAGCCACACCCAATTCGGCACACCCCTCACACGTTTCGTGGCCCCATAGGGAGCTCCACCGAAGGCCCCAGTGCCGCCGCCCGCATGCGTCAGCCACACCCAATTCGGCACACCCCTCACACGTTTCGTGGCCCCATAGGGAGCTCCACCGAAGGCCCCAGTGCCGCCGCCCGCATGCGTCAGCCACACCCAATTCGGCACACCCCTCACACGTTTCGTGGCCCCATAGGGAGCTCCACCGAAGGCCCCAGTGCCGCCGCCCGCATGCGTCAGCCACACCCAGTTCGGCACACCCCTCACACGTTTCGTGGCCCCATAGGGAGCTCCACCGGGCCGTGTGCCGCCGCCCGCATGCGTCCACCACCCAATTCGGCACACCCCTCACACGTTTCGTGGCCCCATAGGGAGCTCCACCGAAGGCCCCAGTGCTGCCGCCCGCATGCGTCAGCCACACCCAGTTCGGCACACCCCTCACACGTTTCGTGGCCCCATAGGGAGCTCCACCGAAGGCCCCAGTGCCGCCGCCCGCATGCGTCAGCCACACCCAATTCGGCACACCCCTCACACGTTTCGTGGCCCCATAGGGAGCTCCACCGAAGGCCCCAGTGCCGCCGCCCGCATGCGTCAGCCACACCCAATTCGGCACACCCCTCACACGCTTTCGTGGCCCCATAGGGAGCTCCACCGAAGGCCGCAGTGCCGCCGCCCGCATGCGTCAGCCACACCCAATTCGGCACACCCCTCACACGTTTCGTGGCCCCAGCCCGCATGCGTCAGCCACACCCATTTCGGCACACCCCTCACACGTTCGTGGCCCCATAGGGAGCTCCACCGAAGGCCCCAGTGCCACCGCTCGCATGCGTCCCGCACACCCATTTCGGCACCTCCACCAAACACAGCGTTTCGTGGCCCCACAGGGACCTCCACCGAAGGCCCCAGTGGTGCCGCCCGCATGCGTCACCCCCACCCCAGCACAGCATTTCGTGGCCCCACAGGGAGCTCCACCGAAGGCCCCAGTGGTGCCGCCCGCATGCGCCACCCCCACCCAGCACAGCGCTTCGTGGCCCCACAGGAAGCTCCTCCGACGGCCCCAGTGGTGCCGCCCGCATGCGTCACCCCCGCCCAGTACAGCGTTTCGTGGCCCCACAGGGACCTCCACCGAAGGCCCCAGTGGTGCCGCCCGCATGCGTCACCCCCACCCAGCACAGCGTTTCGTGGCCCCACAGGGAGCTCCACCGAAAGCGGCACCCGCAATGCGATATTCACAACTGCACATGGTTGGGTCCTTCGCCAGGATAATTTTCCCTCCTGATCGACGCGTGGC